TCTCGCAATGTTACACGACGAGAGAAAGAGAGGAAGCCGGGTGAATGACGGACTCGTCTTACGTCGAGGACGTAAGGAAAAAAATTAATCAAAAAGCCACTCGACCTGGTAATTTAAACGCGTCGCAGCATGTTGAAGTCCTGTATATTGAACTTCTGCTTTGTAAGCTTTGATGACGTTTCTCCCTCTCTCCTCCTCTCCTCTCTCTCTCTCTCTTACTCGCGAGATTCCTTTTACGAGTCGCGCGAGGTAAACGCAAAGGAAGCGGAGGATGCAGCCACCTTGTCATTGTCGGGGAAGAAAGGAGGTAAAATATGAACCGGAGCAGTCGAAACGGAAGCGAACTCCTCAAAGGGCCGACCATATTGAAGGCTTGATTTTTACATCAGCGTGCTTGTTCTTCCATTTTATTCTCATCAGTCACAAGATTTGCCACGACATTTATTTCGTAGTAAACGCACGTGGCAATCAGGCTTCGTATATTGCTCGATAAATTGGCCGAATATCAAAGTGCTACGGCTAGAACGAAAAATGAAAGAAAAAGAAGAAAGTAACGATGTAAGCGCAAACGAGCCGGTCCCGACGGTAACGCGAAATGCGGAAAAAGTTGCCGACGCCGGTTTCCGGTTCGCGCGCCCGTCGTTCTCCCGTCATTGGTTTCCTTCCGCGCGAGAACGGCGCGGAAACGGAAGGTAGAAGGACGAAAAAGCTGCAGGACCCCGAAACCCCGAGCGGCAGCCAATTCGCAAGCAATTCTCCGCTCACCTCGGGCGGTCCGGGAAGTCGTCGACTTCGCTGGGACCGAAAGGCGGGAAAGGGTGGCGCGGGGAGGAGGGCGAGAAGGAGCCATAAAGCTGCCAGAGAAAAACCTCACCCGCGGACTGAGAATTAATATTCCCAGACAAACGTGACAGATAGATCAAATCTGCATCTCACCGGGAGCGCTGGCGGGTGTCAATTTCGACGGATTATCGCTCCTTTCCTCGTCCTCCGCCATCTCCGGGCTCCCCCTCGGCCCCCCGCCGGATGTAAAGCGTCCCTCACGGGTTCTCTCCTTCTCCGAGCGCGCGTCATTCTTTTACGCGAGAGAAGCGCGCTCCTCCGCTCGTCCTCTATTTCCCGAATTTCCATCTACGACGCGGATCTTTCCAAGCTGCCGACGCGAATCCGGTTAGACGAAAGATGAGAAGAACTAAAAACGCTTCGCCCTTTTTTTTTTTTTGGAAGATAATTTTCTCCACACGACGCACGAAGAGACGCATCGACGGTCGGTTGTAAACGCGATGAGGAGATTTTTTTTTACGGACCTCCTCCGCGCGATCGACGAGCCGACGGCAAAATCGCGCCGATCGAACCGCCATTTTTCGGCGCAGCGAGATTCTACCGGGGAAAACGCCGGCAGAAACTGCGGAAGGGATCCACGGCTCTCGGGCCGGAGCATCGAGGGTCCTGGCACGTCCTGTCGCTGCCACCCCACGTGCGTGTTCCTGATACGCGTCGCCTTACCTGTTCGCATGCAACGCCCGAGAATCGACCGTGCACTCACACCGTCCGCCCATATGGGCACGCTCGTGTGGACGGCTCGTGCGGACCACGTGGCCGAACAATAGGACGATTCTAATTGGGCTTTTCGGCGCGGTTGTCCGGCGGCAAAAAAATCCGACAAAAAAGGCGACAAAAGGGGCTTAACCGGGGAATATCCCCGGCGCGGACGCACGAAGGGATGAGCACGAGCGAGGAGCATTCTTATAGCGATCGTGGACCAGTTCGGAAAGGGTTAACTATCTCTCTCTCTCTCTCTCTCTCTCTCGCTTTCTCTATCTGTCTGTCTCGCTGCCATAGAGAACGTGTAGCTAGTGAAAGGGTGGTTGGGGCGAGTTCCGCGGAGCGTGATGAAACTTTAAAGAGACACCGGTGCGCGAGCGACCGGCGATGCGCCGCTCCTCGGGAGGCGCAATTATGCTCCATCGTGATCGCTGCCCTCGTTTTCCGCGCCGCTACAAATTTAACTGCCACAGTCGTTCCTCGATTTGAGGTTCCCTTCCTTTCTCTACGGGTGGATACGCGAAGCTAAACGTCGACACGAGAATCCCCGAGATCGTCTCTCGTTCGCCTAAACCGAGTTAAAGAGATGTACGATCGGTTGCCCCGCTTAATTGAATCAAGAAGAAAATCATTCCTCCCGAACCGTTGAAATTTCGAGGCCGTTATTAGGTGAAAATAATTTAATCGCGGGGGAAAATAGAAGAACTGACGGTGGCTGTCATCGGGGGCGAAGGAGAAATCCGTTCTGCGTTGCAAAGCAGGTTCTTGCGTCAATTTGCACGGTTAAGCGTCGCATAAGAATCTCAAAGGAGAGACATTCGATTCATCGAGGGTGTCGCCGGCGAGAATTTCGTTTGAGGCCGCGACGGACTCTTTGAAGTTAACCGGAATAAACCTCAATCCTCGATGTCGATTCGACGGTTTCGCGAAATTTAAAGCAGCAAGTCCGATTTACACTCATCGTAAACAGCAATAAACGCATTCCGACGAACTGCTTGAAATTATAATAACGAACACGTGTCATTCTCGGGATATTTTTAACCCTCGAATAACAAGGTTCATGCAATCACGCGTATAACAAAGTAGATCGGATCCGATCGGTAGGAGCATCTTGTGGTTTTTTCAACTGATCTTCTCGACCAGGCACGTTTATTCTCACAATAAGTTAGGAAGTATTTAAAGGTAAACAAAATATGTCGCAAAATATATAAAATATCTGATATACAACGCTTCACAAGCGTGCGCGGGAACATTAGAACACAGATCCAACTCGATCGGATCCGACTCGATCTTGTTATCCGATTTTAATCAAATAAATAGCCATATAGTACGCGGAAGTAGTTCCGAAAAGAGTTAGGTTAACTATTACCAAATTATCGTTGCATAATGAATTTGCATAGTAATAGAATTTATTGTGTCATCCTGGTTGTCATCGTAAAGATGACATCTATATTGGAGGAGGAAGATTGCAACATTAATAATTTAAATCTATACAAACAATATACAAGAGAGAGATATCAGATTTGTCGTGCTACATAAAGTAAACGTCGCGGCAGAGTCGCGGCGCGAAGGCGCTAATGTGAGTTCGCGAACTGCAGGAGTTACAACGAGGAAGAAGAAAAAATATCGAGAACGAAACTTGTCGCTCCCCGACAATCGCGATCAGTTCGATTATAGCGCTCCGGCTCGGTTTCGAAGTCGCACAAAGGAGAACGTAGAAGATAACGCAGTACTTTATCCAGCGCGTCGCGTCGCCGAATGAGGACGCTCGCGCGTTAAACCCTTCGACGTACGACAATGTGGTCCCCGACTAAAGGGGGTCACAGGAACGAGGGGCACGGGGAAAGCGGAGGTAGCGGGGGGCAGGTTCACCCCAATCCTCGAGCGGGTGGTTTAAACTCAAAAATCGAATCCACCGACCTATTGTTCGTGCCCGCTCGACCAGGTTCGACATCACATGGCAGACCCCGTATAACGATACTTTAAAACACCCTCTCTTCCACCCCGTCCGGGCGGCCGACAATTCGCCAAAGCAGCGTTTCGAACCGGCGAACGATGGATTTTGCGACGCACACTTACAACGACGAAAAATCCTGACACACTTTCTCGCCGTCCTCGTGCCGCGCGCCCAAATTTGTAACAAAGAGCTGACTGCAAAATTGAGCGGAGAAATTCCGAATTATACCATGGACGATAATCTGACTAGGTCGTGTCAGACTAGGTCGTTTGAATATTTCATTTGTGTGTACGAAAAGGCGCCGAACTATCGATTTCGAATGTGAAATGTTTTTCTGCTGCTCATTGATGTACCGATATTATTCATTGAAAGAAATTGCCGATGGCGAAACACGAGCGCCTTTTCTCGCGTGCGTATTTTTTCATCGAGAAATGTAATCACTTTCGTGATTCTAGGGGGAGAAAGAGATAATTCCTACTTAAAAATATGTATTTCTTTCATGTTTCGAGATAAAGTGAGAGAATTCGTGCAATAAAAGAGGACTTTACTTCTTCAGTTTATTAATAACATGCTGATATAATAGATATTAAACAGTTTTATTCACGAATTTCTCGGAGCTATGCCTGTACCGCTAAAATCCGTTATTCGGGAATAATCGGAAAAGAGCAGAGCGCGCTTTTAAAAATCGCGCGAAAAAAATTTGCTCTTTTAAGTTAAATTAGTGAAAATGTCACTGATTGAATAAGTAAAACAATATTATACCGATAATCGATGAGTATTTACTAATTTTTAATGGAAAAGCACGTAACTCTTTTGCCTTATTGACTAATTTTGGCGAGTGAAAGATTCATTATAAATCATTGTTACGCGTCTCATAGTAGAATTATATATACATGTACGTATATGCATTTAATCATATATCGTATTTGGCGTAGTTTATATACGGAGAGAAATAATTTTGCTGTTGTAACAAAACTATTGTTGTTGCTGCTACATCATATTTGTTGCGACAATGATAAAATTTAGCTGGCATAACCAAATTAGCGGATTATTCGTAATTAGGGCAGAAATAATTTTGTTACCAGGATAGAAAATATTCTGCTAAGTGAATTTACCGTTAGAACGTGTTAATTTGCTGTTTAGAAGAAAATAGCGTTTTCTTATATTTACTAATTTGTTCTCACAGCAAAATCATTCGTAGATTCAGTAAAATAATCCAGCGATAAAATTATTGACAACGTGTTAAGAATGTGATTAAGATAGTAAAAAAGAAGTAATAAATATCTTTTTCACTGATTTTTCTGTAGTTAGAGAAACAGTCGTTGTTATTGATAGAGTTTTGCAACGAAATTTCACTGATTTGCAATGCTGTACTCATAATCATGAATACCGGTAATTATTAATTGCTTTTCGATGATAATACACTGATTGCGCTTTAGAGAGCGCGTCGCAGCCGTGAGGAGGAAAAGACGGAAACAAGAAGATCGCGAGATCTTACCGGAATTGACTGTGTTCGTGTCGGCGTCCACAGACTCGGTCTTCTGCTTCTTCGGGAGGTCTTCCTTGTCCTCGTCCGGAGCTTCCGTCCGTCTCTTTGGCGTCGAACTGGCGCTCGCTTTAAGGTCGATCGGACTTCCGGTATCCGGTCCCGGGCCCTGCGGCGTCGGCGGACTCTCCAGTCGACCGCTTCTCTTGTTGATCGGTGCGGAAATACTGGGCACCGAGTTTAGTTTCGAGTCCGGATCGGTGGTCTTCAGGGCGAGGGCATCCTCCGGATCGGAGTCCTCCGGCGCAGCCGTCGCCGGTGGACTGTGGCAGCCCTGGAGGGTGCTTCGACAGTGGTTGACCTTGTGCTCGATGAACCGGACGATCTCGCCGAGGGGGTAGGACGCCCTGCAGCCCCCGCATTGGACGGTGTCTGGGGACGTGGTGTTTTGCGAGGTTTCCGCTGTAACAGGGAAAGAGAGAGACGTGTCTCGTTCAGTCGTGTTATGGAATTTGCGTTTAATCCGATCGACGGTTAGTTGCTTTAATCAAAATGATACCAGGGTGGGTTTGAAATGTAACTTGGTTTGATATTAAGGACAACAGTTTTAGTTTCATAAAGTACTTTATTTTTCAACGTAGTCTCCTCGAAGCTCAATACTATTTCCCCCGGCATTTCTTCAGGTTCCAATCCCCTCCCGAAAGTGGATTTCTTCGAGGTCCCCAAAATAGTCGTTTACAGCCTCTATCGACTCTTCATTCGACCTAAATCTTTTTCCGGCCAGGAAAATGTTGAGTTTCGGGTACAGATGGAAATCCGAGAGAGCTTTAGCTGATTTATCAGGCGATGTTTTTCCGCGATCGCTGCCTTTAACTTCTCCAAAAGTGCTTCATAATATTGGCCAGTAACGCTTTTTTCCTTCTCAAGGTAGTCGATCAGGAGAATTCCTTTCGCATTCCCAAAAACCGATGCCATCACCTGCTGTCCGGTCGATGGTACGGCCTTCGCCTTTTTCGGAACTGTTTCACCTCGTTCAGTTCACTGTTCGGATTGCGTTTTTGATTCAGATGTGTAATGGTGAATCCAAGGTAGTCGATAGTTTCATCCATAGTCACAAAACGCCGCATAAAATCCGTCGAATTCTTCTCCAACACCTCTAAACAGTCGGCTGATATTCGCATACGCTTTTGCTTTGCAGTGAGCAAACGCGGTATTCATTTTGCGGAAAGTTTTTTCATATTCAATTCGTTAGAATGAAATGAATTCGCTCAGTTGAGATGCCCATGGCCTCTGCTATCTCGCGCACTTTCACTCGTCTATCGGACAAAACCGTATCATGAACTTTATCGATAGTTTCTGTCGTGACAGCTGTTCTCGGACCTTCAGAACGTGGAGCATCTTCGATGCTTGTTCTGCCACGCTTGAATTCGTTTACCCAAAGTCGAATGGTTTTATAGGAAGGATATGAGTCACCCGGTGTAGGAAAAACCCTTTTATAGATTTTCCCTCCGCTGTTTCTCCTTCCAAAAAAGAATTTAATCGCGAATTCCAATTTTATCCATTTTGCACTGTCGCTCGAAACGCTTGTATTGAAACAACTGTCGAACAAAGAATCAATTTTTTATTAAACTTTTAACTAATTGATTAATATCTATACATCTATTCACTTTGAATTGGAAGCTTGCTTCTTCGTCAACAACGAAAACAAGGTGTCGATAGCTGTCGAATCGATGCGATTGAACGTGTCGGGATTCTCAGAGGTGAAATATTTCGTGAATAATTGCTCTCTGATTATAATAATAAGCGGACGTGTATACTCATATAGCACAGAAGCTTGCGGTAACATTGCTGCAACGTTGCTAACGTAGCAACAATGTTAACGTTAACTTTTGTGCCATGCGGGTAATAACGTCACATTTCCAACGTCGTTTTTCTTTTTTTTTACGAGAAAATAGCACCGTCTCTATGTGGACCATCGCAAAGTTGGTGGACGGTACTCGATTGTGCTATAACATAATGAACAGCGTATTACCGCAATTGTATCGCGAAGGAACCTTTCAATTACCGTTTCCCCCGGCTGGGCGAGCGGTGAAAGCAACGTCAGTATCGGCTTATTACTATCGATATTTACGTGTTACAGATATCGTTATATAACCGATCGTAGACATATGTCGCGCGCATTATTCGCAGCGAGGCATTAATCATTGCAATTTACGATACCCATTAATCCGGCGCGGCCGTAATTCCGCGCCGAGATGTTAAGCCGCGCGGCTTTATGCAAACGGACTTCTTTAGCAGACGGCCGTAAAATGAAATTCGACGGCTGTAAAACCTTCGGGGTGTTATTATTAAACACGATTGAATAAAATAGTTTCAAACAAAATCTCTACATTTCGATACAACTGAGTAATGGATCAGAAACAACTCTTTCATGGCGCATCGATCGCTCGCCCGATGGGTAACGGGTGAACGCCAATTGCACACGAACGGCAAACAACAAATCTTTGTCCGTCCTGCAAACATATCGATTTCGAGTTGCGCCGCTTTTTCATTTTCGTCATTCAATTTCCGCGCCCGCGACTCGACAACGGTACGTAGGTACGGCCGTCGGTATCCCGGCTAATCCGAGCGCGCGCGAGCGGACTTTCCCCGGATAACAAACAGAACTAATTTCCTCTTACGCAACCGTTATAATTCACCGTCGGTCCGAGGGGGCAGAGGTCCCGGGAGGTCAGCCGCAGACGTAACAATTCACTTTTGAGTGTCCTTCACGAGATAGAGAGAAATACCGTTCCTCGCGCGGGGCTTCTCTTGCGTGACGTCTCACGCCCTTTCTCTTTCGTGCGTTTCGCGCATTAACATAGAGATTGGCGGGAGTCGCGTATATCGATCTCTCTCCTTCGGCGAGTCGGGTATCCATATCTGTCCGAATGGGGCTGCCAGGCTCGCGCGACGAAACAAGAAAAACCCTCCGCCGCGTCTTGGCGATCGTTCTCCACCTCCCCCGCCGCCGCCCTGCGTCGTCTCGTCGTCCTCACCCTCGTTTCTCCCCTTTGTCTTTCCTCCCGCGCGCGTAATCCCGCGTCTCGCTTTCGCGCACGTCTTTCCACCGAGAGACCCCTCCGGCTTCGTCTCTTTCGCCTTCGTGCGATTCTTTTTGCAGCCTTTACGCCAACCCCTGTTTGTTTACCCCTAGCTGCTACCACCCGTTTCCTCCTCCGTTCTCGTTCCTCGCTTCTTTCGCGTCCTCCCTGTGTGCGACCGTTCGATTCTTTCGGGGCGGAGCTCGCTTGACCATTGGCCAGGGCGCAAGCCCGAGCTCGCTTCAACCCTTTGTAGTCCGAGTTACACCCCTGACCGATGGGCCGAACACGGATTTGCGGACGTGGGACGCGAGTCACGGACCTTTTTCCATCGATCGCAGCTATTTCGCGGACGATTCTTTATTCTTGCGCTCGGGGAAATCTTCGATGCTCCATTCGTGTATTAAAAGGCAGACTCTAATTTCGGAACTGTCATATTTTCAGCAATGTTACGATGCGAGTGTTACTTATATACATCCTTGATAAATTTTATCTTAAAGCCACTTGCGACATTGAATATATTAGATTTCGTTGAATTTTCCCAAAGTAAAAATGCGAAAATAAATCTCTAATGAATTTCGTCGTGAAATCACCCCGAGACGCGGCGGGCTGCGATTCCACGGCAACGTTCCACGTGAATCATGTGATATCGCTGCCCATCCTGCAACGATACATTTTTCGAACAAATTCCAGACTTCGTCGGAGGATATTTTCACATGCCTCGTGCGTACGGCCGCGAGATCCCGATAAGGATCTATTTCTTCGGGCCTTCACCGGCCGGAATCGACCCCGAGGTGCGTCGTGGAACTCCTTTTTTTTCGCGGCAATTCCTATCTGCGCCTTCTCGTTTTTCAACGGCGGAAGAGCGACGGTAGCAGGAAGCGAGATAAGTCCGCGGAGTCTCTCTCTCTCTCTCTCTCTCTCGGTGCGTCGAGACTCGTGTTCGGACGAGACAATTGCGCCCCGAGCGACGTCCCGCATTCTTCGTAGGAACGCGAGATTTTAATCGCACTCGTCCGAGATCGTCGCCGACGATCGAACGCGAGAAGAAAAGGAGAAAGGGAGAAGCGAGACGCGGCGGCGTTAAAAATCCGATAACATTTTCGATAAAAATCCCGGAGAGTGAAACGACGTCCGGCCGCGTCCGGGTCCCTCTGTGGCGTTGGCTGGCGCGTTGATGGAGAAAAGGGAAAAAGGAGAAAAGGAAGAAAAGAGAAAAAAACGAATCGGCCGAGCTGGCTACGTCGAGCCGGCCCCGAGAGCGGCGCGACAGCGAAAGGAAGGAGCCGGCGAAGTAGCCTGAATGGACGGCTCTCTCGGATCCGTTATGCGCCTACGATTCAAAAGCGCTCGGTTAGAAACAAGAGACGCGCGACCGGTCGTTAGCGACAATGGGCTTTTGTTTTTTCGGGGGCAGATGTTGGACCAAAACTGTCGGCAGGCGTAGACCCCTCTGCAACCCCTGCGCGCGAGCTCCCCGGCAACCCCCGTGAGCTTAAGGTGAGCGAAGGAGGAGGACGACGGAGAGACACGTGTCTCTTCGCCACTTCATAAATCACCCGCCTATTTATCCGCGCGCGCGTCTTCGGTCGCTTTTTGCGTGCGGCGCAATCGTTGATCGTGCCTGCGTTTCTATTATGAAGACACTTGATTGGCTATGGTTGCGTAAGAAGGATCCGAAAAATTATGATTTTTGAGATTTTGCTATCAACGGGCAGTCTATATATTTTTCTACATAAAACAAAAAGATCCAAGTTTTATGGGTGTCTGAAATTAATTAAGACATTTTTTATTAGTTGAGTTCTTTTTACCTTTGTCCATTTTTTTTAAGGATTGCGCTTAGGTTCAATGAATGCCCTTAAAGGGAAGAAAATGGATCGTGCTTGGTTTCATGTACAATTACAATTGTGAAGAATTTTATTGTTATTTATACTTTCTAAATCGTGTATCAAATTCTCATATTCACTTTTCAACAAGTGTGCTCCATCTGGGTTGGATTTCTCTTATATAGTTGTAGCCTCAATTATCTTCAATTTTAACGAAATTCTTTATTTATATTTCCGATTAATGCAATTGAGCAATTTCAACTATGCTTTTGACGATTTTCAATTGCTTTTGATGACTTTACGCCTATTATCAGGCAGCTTTGGAATGCCGTTATGGAAAAAATGATTCTGGTTTGGAGACGAAGAGTCGTCCGGAAATTTTTGAAGTTCTTGCATGTTTCGGAATTGGCAAAGTGTGCTGTTTTATCTGAATAAATGATAATCGCTTGACGTGATATCTGGTGAATAAGCCAGATGCGGCGAAACTCTTTCCAGTTCAAAAGATTAATCGTTTCTTTCACCGTGAGGGTCATGAGACCGTGTGTTATCGTAGAGCGAGATGACTGGCCGACATCTATGGCCGCAAAGTGATCCTTTTTCCAGAACTTTTTTTATTCAAGCTGTCTAGTTGCTATTTATGACAGTTATTGACCATTTGATACGTTTCCAGCAATCATGCCTTAATATAAGCCTCTCTTCATATCCCTTCACACGGTCAATATAATTTTTACGACTTTTTGTGTTTATCGTTCTCGTAATAAAACCTACTTTTCGCCATCAGCCACAATCTTCCACCAGAAATCTTTTTCTGAGGACAAATCATAGGAGAAAGACATTATTTAATTATTACTTAATTTAATCAATCTTTTTTTTACTTTCATGCTTGTAACGGTGCAAAATTATCCAATTATCCAATCTCCATTGCAAACTTGCAATCCAATTGCATACATAATTAAAGGAAAGATCAAGTATTCGCGGACTGAATTAACTGGCGTTCCTAATAATTTGAAGAGTTTTTTTTTCGAAAAAGGGAAATTTCGAAAATTCACGACATATTGAATTCGTCGATTGTCCTGAACGATATATCTTCGAATGGTTATTTCACGATGATGCCATCGAGAACGAAACAAAAACTCCATTCCCGTCGTCGTTATCAAAACGCCGCAAAACGCGTACAATGCCTACAATACGCAATACGTTTCTGTTTCCGATGACGACAATTACCTCCGGCATAAAAACGGAGGGCGATCGCATTCGTACGAAGATTACGTATAGGAGAAAGTGGGGGCGAACGGAGAAAGTGAATAGCTTAGGAGAGGAAGATAACGTAAAAATATAATATTGCCCCGCGAATATAGGTTGGATTGCTTACAAATTGGTCTATACATCCGTAATGTCGCGATCGCCGAGCTCGGTGGCTCCCTTATTGCGGGCGTCCTTGTAATTTCCATCTACGAGTGGGAAGGACGCGCACGGGAATCTCTGCGGGTAACGTTCCGAGGTTATTAGTTTTCCACATTAATTTTCCTTCTTATGTCCTTAGCAAGATACACCAGACCGGCCGGAAAATCGATTCCCCGTGATAGTCCGCGCGCGCGCGAGAGAAAAAGAAAGAATAGGGGAGGAGGGAGATGCCGTCGTTTCCTTTTAACATCCAACGCGGGAAACTTCGGTACTTGAAAATCGATCCAATTCGGCTTTAATGATTTAACCGTGTCCGTCGACAACTGCAATTCCTCCGAGTTGAATTTAATTTGCAACTTCGTAACTTTTGTACCTACGCCGCATACAGTATTTATCCATTAATTCACGGCGGGACGAGTGAGTTAGGGGAGGAATAGAGAGAATGGCCGGTGAGAAATGCATTATTCGTTCTTCGTTCGAACGAGGAATTCGATTCGAACTTAATCGGAGGATGCGACGTTTTCCGGCATACTTGTCGAGGACGAAGCACCACCCGTGTCCCGGGCGACGTTCGAGAGACAAGGACTCCGGTTTCATGTTTGCGACCTGACGTTAACAACAACCCCCCCCCCTCCCCCTAGCGTGGTATATTTAACCAGCTCGACCGCGACTCCGAATCTCCCACCGCGTTTTTCCGCGCGACCCAACCGTAACCCTCGTACGACCCGACGGTCTGCATAGAGGAAACACCGTCGAAGATATCCCGAGGCAGTGTCCTTGTTAGGACATCCGTCCTGTCAAAACGTCCAGAGGACACATCGGAGCAATCGAATTACGATCATCCCCAGGGCGAGCTCCGACCGTAACCAGTAATTCCATTATCCATTAGTATTGGGTCGCGGCAATTTCCTCCGCCGACCGAGGAGGCATCGGACGCCGCCGTCGCAGCCGTACGTGGCAGCCGCCGCCGATCCCGGCGAAAACGGATAAATTCCCGGCGCGCGTCCGTATCGACATACGCGGGATGGACAGATCCGTGACGCGATCGCAAATACCGTCTTATCCATAATAGAACGTCGTCGCGTCGTTTATCGTCGCGTCTCGCGGCCGGAGGACGTTCCTTCGGACGCGCGATTCATTCGCAGGCTGACTCATTTTATCAGGCGTAATTCAACGCATCGTCACGAATAACGCGTAGTTCACATATTTGTCCCGATCTTTTCCTCAATCTTGGCGCGACCGATTCGCGAATCGTGGAAGAGCACGGCGTGAATTCCAGCGCAACGACGAATCCAGCGGATCTGCGCCAGATAGGAATATAATCGAGATTTCAATTTTCGAGCCTCGGAATAAGAGTCGAGAGAGCAGCTCCCAAGGTTGCGTTCCCTGAAATCGTCCGGTATCTCGGTAGCGAAGTCATGTGCGTGTAACTTGCCGCGACCTCCGACTCGCCAGTATCCGCTTATCGCCGTTGTATTTACATCTTTCGTGAACAGCAGCTGATAAGAGATAATATCGCTCGCTTGAAAATCGCTGGCGAGTCCGCCTGGAACGACTATAATTACCTTTGTGCGCCATTACCGCTCCTCGGCCTGCCTTCGATTATTGCGTCTCTCTCTCGGATCTACGCGGCCGCTCGTGTCGGCATTGAACTCACTGGCGGGTTCGATCGCGGGGATTGATCGCGAATCCGAACCTTACGCGACGCGGAATCGCCCGTTCCTTCGCGGGGGCCCTTCGTCCTCGCGACACGACGCTCTCGTTTGATGTCCGGAGGACACGAATCGATTCTCATCGCCGTGCCCGAGATCTGCTTTCGTCCATGCTCGGATGCTGACTGGAGCATCGGGGCGCGTATAGGGCCGGCCAAGGGCCCCGACAGGATATCAGAAGAATAGAAAGGACCTACCGGCATGCGCACCGGTAGAGGGGGGCGATTTTTATACGAAACCCCCACTTTATATCGTCCTCTCGCGCACGCTCTTTCTCTCTCTCTCTCTCTCTCTTTCTCTCTCTATTCTCTCCCTCATTCCTTCCTTCTCCTTTTCCTCTGCCTGCTTTCTTTCCACCCGTTCTCCCCATTCGAAAACCCTTCGTCGTTGGGCTTTCCTCGCGGGGTCGCCGAGTTTTTCGAGTTTTAACCCCGACGGTGTTCCACCACCGTGCGTTTCGTTCTGCTCGACGTGATCGAGACGCATCTATGTCCCCGTCCGTACAAAGGATCCAAAATGGCGCCAGGCCTCGCCTGCGTAGCGCTGTTTTTCATCGTTACGGGCCCTCTACGGCCTGCCGCATCTCGCGTGCATACGCGCGTCGTGAAAAAAACAAGGCCGAAAAACGAACCCGTTTGCGAGCGGGCTGGATTCAAGACGGACCGGGGGTAAAGGTCTCTCTCTCTCTCTCTGTCTCTCTAAGTCCATCGACCCTGCTCTTACAATCGGATCGATTTTTTTTTTCGTCGTAGGTTTTCTCGAATTTCTTTGGCCGTTCTTTTTCGATCCGAGGGACTCCCTTCGTGCCCCCGATATCGCGAACGGTACCTCTAACGGGTCTTTGCTTTTCAAGCGAAACAGAGATCCAACGTTTTTTTTTTTATGTCGTCATTGACCTCGCTTCTAGAGAGCGAGGGTGCGTCGTATGCTGGTTGACCGGTAGTCTCTCGAGACCTCGAATTGCACGGGAACATGATCTGTGATTAGGTCTCGTAAATGTTGTAGGTTGTTGATTTCGTTTGTACTTGGCGAACAACGATGTTAAAACGAAACAAATGCAGATAATATTTCGGCTCAGTAGCAACTGCTCAGAGTAACAACCGAGCGGAGTCCGTAATTTTATCTCGTAGATATTGCAAAATGTCAGATAACAAGATAATTCGGTGTACATTTCATTTCGTCATGAATAATCCAGTTTTTGAAAACAACGATGTCAAAACCGGAGACTCGAGGCCGAGATTTGAGAAGCGATTTTCTCGCACCATCACCAGCAGTATCAACTTATACGTGACGTAATCATATATGTTTCATAAAAACGGTGCGGAATACTACTGAATTAAGTGCCACGCTGCAGAAGTGGGCCATTTATTTCAGAATACGTCACGGATGTATTCCCGCCGCGATCGCATTCACGAAAGATGACAATACGCGCAAACCATTATACTGAGGAGCCAGTTTAGTTGCATCAATCGAAAAACGATCAATCAAACACGACTTGGCCGAAGGAAACCAAATTTCTGATTGCCAGAACCAAATTTGTTTCTTATAATCAGCAATTTTGTTTTCTTCGACCAAGTCGCGATTGAATGCCCGTCTCGGGTCGAAATTTTGACTCTATTGCTATTCTGACGTTTTTAAGGATAATTTGCACTTACTTAGACGGCCTATAGACTAACGAGAACTTACTTCGACGATACTAACACTTTTGAATTTCTCTTTCGGACCTCTGATTCTATGGATGAAAATTTCACCGCTACCTTCAACGACCTATTTTGACGGTAAAAATCATCGGGGTCAAAGGGGTTGTATTATATTAGAATTGAAATAGAAGGATTATGTTGTAGAATGAACCGATTAACACGGGGGGAAAATTTCGACTCGGTGTTTCTCGGTGCAACTGCGCCGGCCGCTAATCACCAACCCGGAGTCGAAATTGCGTCGGGACCGATCGTCTGCCGCGTCCCGCGGGTGCCCTAGAATATAGATCGCATGAACGATCGCGTCATTAATTTGACGATCGATAGGCCGCCGGTTAAACGTATAACTGGGGTTTAATAATAACACCGGCGCGCGCGGTAGTTCGCAGCCGGCAGCTCGCCGCAGTGATTCACCCGCGGGAAACTTCGCTTCCGCGTTCAATAAATCGCAGGAATTCCCGAAGAACCGGCGGTCCCGGCGGAAAGTGGAGCGCGGGCCGGCCGAAATATCAGGCCGATCTCACAGACTGCGGCGGGGAATGCGTCCCGAACAAACGGGTGAAATCAGTGACCACTTTGGGTATCAGAAAGGCCCCGGGGAGATCGCGTAGAAAACCGCGTTCCACTGTTCCGCGCCTCTCGGCCAGGCGGTTATGAGAAATATGAAATCTGGTTCTCACGGATTCTGAATGGGGTACAGGCGGTCTCGCTCTCTCTCTCTCTCTCTCTCTTTCTCTCACCCGCGCCGTCTCGTTCCCGCACTCGCGATCGTCGCTCCACATGCGTATCGTGGGAGGATCTCGAGGCCCCGGGTCGCCCTTTGTCAGCCCGGCAGCAGGACATTGTCCATTGAGAAAACGGCCAAACAGGTCCTAGAGAGAGAGAGAGTTGACCTGTGTCCTCCCCAGTCCTTTTCAATTGCGTTCTTTTCAAGAGGAGAGGAAAAAACCCCTTTCCCGATTTTTGATCGGAATAAATCGCGCGGGCAGTACAGTTATGCACTCGCGAGAACCTACCCAGCTGCCGACGAGCAGCGGGGCTTGGACACTCGCGGACGTCCCGGCTGCTCGTGGGCGTCCTGTCGTGCCCCCGTCATGTTTTCCAGAGTATTTCTCTCCCAGGCGTGCATGGTCATGCGTGGCCTTTAGTTCGCTGGCGGCGTGTTTCACCTTTCGTGAGACTCCGCTTCGATGTTTCTCGCGGATCCTCGTGGACTCTCCTGGGAACGCGTCGCTGTCGTCGTCGTCGCGCCTCCAATCGCCGCTGCGATCGTTTTCACAACTGCGCGCGCGTTACGGCGCGTTACGGACGACGTGGGAAGGCGACCGGCGATACGGAACGGAAAAGTGCCGCGGTTTCGGTTTCAAAATTGAGACGCCGAGTTAATTACAGGCGAATTAACCTCGCGCGGGACCGCCGCGGACAATGAGAGAATTATTGTCGCGGATCATGGGCCGATGTATCTTTTCCCGGATTATCAGTCGTTGTTCTTTTCAATCAAGAGAACAACGATATCTGGATATATCTGGTTCATTAATTGAAGAAAAAGAAAACTAATCGTGAGCCGAAATTTACAGATGAGTTCGGAGACTTTTCCATAAAAGCTTTTTTTTCTTTTTATTAGACGATCGATTTTAAGATAGTTGTATTTTGCAGAAAGTCGTATTTTCAGTGGCGCATCAAGGGAACTATTAATAAATTAAATATTTGTTATATAATTATGTTCTTTTACATTTATTTCATTATTTAAATAATAAATGTTATTTGAGACGAAGTTGAGATAAATAAATATATATATATATATATATCTCGTCGTTCTCTATCTGGTTCATAAGTTTAATATATACACATACGAAATATTGCAAGTATTGCAAATATTTACAAGTATTACAAATACGAGAAATATTTTTTTTTCTTATTAACCTCCCGTTAGTCGCAATATCCAATAGACACGTTCAAGCTACAACCTATCGCCGTTATTATACGATCTCAAAGTCGAACTCGTCCTCATCAATGTTTTTTCTTTGTTTTCTTTGTTCTTCACTGTTGTTTCAAGAAGCAGAATAAAATAGTGGGAAAATTAATGTATCTGTGAGATACATTGCGATCATTCATGGATGAACAATATTGCGACTGAAGAAAGGTTAACGCTATTTTTACGCATTAGCTGGTCTAACAGAGATACACAGATAATAGAAAGTCGAAATAAATACATATATATATATATTTCGAGTGAAACCATAAGTTATGAAAGCACTTCAAAACAAAATAGTCAATAATTTGTAAATTTTCATATAATGTCCCTATATTAGTCTTCAATATCGCAGTTTTCGTGAAAATCCTAAATATGATTTCAAAGGAATGACAAATAAAAGGTAAAAATAGGACCTCAGCCTCAAAGAATATATCTGAAAGGCGTCATCTTCAGCTGCGAGTGTCTCAGCTTCCGAATGGTCGGTCTGCTTCTAATTACCAATAATTAGGTCACGCTTAAACCTATTCGGATCTATATGTAGTGCGAGTTTCGACGAATTTCAACGAATAAAAAAAAAACTCACTTTATGCCGACTATCTTAACAGAATGCTACACATTGTTAACCCGATTCGTTTTTACGCGCGCTTTGTGGCGCACAATCGGGCTCCCTCAAAGCCCTCAGCGGCCGAAGAAAAAGCGACGCTGATTCGATATTCTTTGTGATCGCGAACGCGACCGCAAGACAATATATCGTGAAAATGCCGACAGGCTCGCGCGCGCTGTCATGATATAACCCATTCAGCCGGGACGGCGGACACACGGTTTTTCAATGATGATGGAACGATGGTTCGCTTCCATGTCGGCCCACCGTTGGGCTCCCGACAATGACGGAAAAACAAACGGCGGGCAACCGGCGGCAACAACGAGGATCGCCAATGGGAAACGCAGCGAAACGCGGAGCGTGAAGCCGCGCCGCTGGCGGCTTTGTATTGTCCGGCATCGCGGTTTCTCCCTTTTCCCTCCCGCGTCATCTCCCGTCTCCTTTCTCTCTCGCTCTTGCCGGTTAATTAGAAAGTTCCGCGGTAAAGAGAGGAAAGAGGGGAACGCGGAGAGCGAGCGAGGGGCCAGAAGAGGGGGAGGGGGGGAGGCTCCGGGGCTTCGTTGTTACATTATTCAAAACGTTCTCCTCCCCCC